ATGAGGAAAAAACAATAAATGATTGCTAGAAAAAGAAAGGGTAATTAGCACATAACGTCAACACCTTTCATTGTTGTGGAAAACGTCTCTATCTTTCATTTTTTTGGCATTTTCACCCTTATTTTCACTTTTAATTGTGCAAAATGTCATTTTCATCTATTTTATCAATTAAAAATTGTGAAATGACGAATATACACTTCTTTTTAAATAAAACAAAAAGAAAAAGAAAAAAATTAATTACAATCATGCTCCCAACTTTTTTTTAAAGTACAAATGAGTCCCAAATAAATTATTAAAAGGTTAATTAATTAGTACATAATGTCCCTCTCTCTCATCGTTATTGCAAAAATCGCTCCTACCTTTTTTCTTTTTTTTTTTGACATTTTCATCATTAATTACACATTTGATTGTGCAAACCATTATTTCCATCAATTTTCATCCAATTTCTCAATAAAAGAAATGTGAAATAATGAATATATCCTCATATTTAAATAAAAAAAAATATTTTTTAAAATTTTTAATTCTTTAGGTTCCCTGATAAAAACCCACGAACATTTGCCTCCAGTTCTTCAAATGCTTGATTTTATTTGAATGTAAAAGTCGGGACCAGATTTGGGATTCGTGTTTCAGTTCGACATGGAACTCGAATACAGCCTGCAAGTACATATTTTCATGAATTTTTTGATTATATGTTGTTAATCCAATTCGCTGATCAAAAATTGATTTTGTTTCTTTTGTGGTGCGATTGACAATGGTGGTGTCAATGGTTTGTGATGGGATTGACGTTGTGGTACAGCGGTTTGTGGTGCATTTGAGGTGGCGACGTTGGGTAGCATTGGGTGGTGTCGGTGTTGGGACGGTGTTGTTGGCTGTGACGATTTTGAGGGGCTGGGTGGGGTGGGGTGGGTTAACAGTAGCCTTTTTTCTTTTCTTTTTAATTTTTTTATATTAAAATTGCAAAGTTATCATTTTATCCTTGTTATATTAAAATTGTCAAATAGATGGTTTAGGGTTTTTCATTCTTTTGGACCCTAGGTGCATATTTTTGAATGGTTTGGGATTATGGGTGACACAGTGAAGGTTAGGGTAAAGTCTACTAAAAAAGTGAAAGGTTAGGGACCGTTGCTGTAATTTTCCCCTTAAAAAATCCTCGTTTATTGTTTGTTTTACTTATTTATTTAATATTTTTAAATATAATATTAAAAATATAGTAGAATTAAAATAATATATGGAAGGGGACGGTGTGGGAACTATATTTTCCATCCCAGTTACTAAACGAGGTGGGAATTCCGTGCCGGCGGGTTGGCGGGTAATTT